TATATACATACACATTACATATCTACACACACAGTGTAAATCCCAAACCTCTGCTCTTTGTCATCCCCCAGTTAGTGCATGAGAAAATTAATAAAAAAGCTTGAAAAATTTCATCCACAATAAAGTCAACCACTAATAGGCATGCCAACCATTAGTCAAATGTAAGGTGACCAGATGTCCCGATTTTATAGGGACAGTCCCGATTTTGGGGTTTCTTATATAGGTGCCTATTAACCCCACCCCACCCCGTCCCAATTTTTCACACTTGCTGTCTGGTCACCCTAGTCAAATTATAAACAAACACACCACACCTACGTGGTAATTAAGGTTTTGGTATTCAAGGTAATAAATCCCAAAACCACACCTCCTTCCCAGTTTGAGAGAAATTTTGTTAAGTTTGTCATAAGTAACCAATGATCTCTATTATTTATGAATAAAGTTCTTAGGCCTTGAGCCTGTAAACACTTGTGCAAAAACTGCATATGCTTAATTTTATCACCATGAGTGGTCTGCAGGATTGGTACCCTACACTGTATGCTTTTTGGGGCAAGCACTATGTCCCTCTATGTGTTTAGAAAATCCATATCATGTAACAAGCTATGCCACAATTAAATAATTAACATCTCCAACATTAACAGTCTGTAAAATAAATCATCCAAATGTAAGTTTTCTGTACTGGGGGCTCTTAATACCGTAACCTGAACTGCTACGTAATTTGTTTTTATTTCTGGGATTTAAATGTCACCTGTCCAGACAAGAGTTCTGTAAAGCAGTACAAAATAAGGCAAGGAAAAGACATGACAGTTTAAACAGAAGGCTCATTAAAATTTAGTTTGTTGCTATTATTTTTGAGAACTTTATGGATGCCTAAAACATCCACTGAAGTTAAAGTGGGACTAATGGCGGCCAGGGCTAAGGAGGGATGACTTTGAAAAAACAGAAGAAAATATCCATAATCTGAACTTCATTTGAAATATTCATTTATATTTGTACCTGATCTTTTGAATTGCCATATTTAAAATGTAGCAATGAAAACATGTCGACATTAAGAAATGCATTTAATAGTTTCCTTCCACTTTTGGCATCTCTTATAAATTTAGAAGACTCTTTCTGTAAGGAAATAGCTTGGGTTCAGGCATCTTGACATAGATAGTCCCTGTAGAAGACTTCCAATTCTTGATATAAAAAGGCACAAGAAATTTAGGACACACTAAGAATGAAAAAGCCTGCCAGGGAAAAGTGATAATTAATCCTCCAGATCCCCATCTGACTTAACCATTCTAATAAGGTATTACTAACTTGAAACGGGATGCCTTGTTTGGGAGGAGGCAAAAGTTAAGTCTGACACTTTTATAACTATTTGCTGATGACAGTTCCTGATCACCTTGAATGGGCCGAGGAACAATACCGCTGAAGACAAGGCTGAAACTGTAGGGTACCAAAAGAGATTGGCAAGAATACTGGTGTTTGGGCATCTTTCCTTGTCTGAAAATGCACTCTATAGATAGGCCCTTCAGAAGTGGCTTGACCACTATACCATTTTTGGGGCACTTCTTCCCCAATACTTATCTTTTGGCAGGATTACAGCAATTTGGCTTGTATAGTAGCACTAAGAGGCTGATGATGAGTCAGGAATTTTCAACTAATTGGTCACAAATTGGTCGAAGTCGGTCAAGAAAGACCCTCCCTTTCTTTATGACTACATGGGAGGACGTCCTTGAAACATTTTTCTATTGTAACATTGAGTCACAGGTGACGGTGAGTGTGACGGTGTACCCCATAAGGCTTCATGGGAATATGCTTATGAATGTATATATGATATAACTGGAATATGTTTTATGCTACATATGCCATGTAACCTATCTATGTAAAGGTTATGATCTACTGAACACATTCCTCCTATTTGAATGCATGTATCATTTTTGTACTTGAAGTTAAGAATATTGGCTGTATATTTGCTTGATAGCTCTAGTAAAGCATTTGGTCGGCTTCTTGAGAAAGGAATGTGGAAATTAAGTGGCCAATCAAGAACCGCTTAAGCCAACAATGAACTCGAAGACGCCAATCCACATCTGAGCTTTCCCAGGAATGTGGCTTGGCAGGTAAGGAACTCAGTCATGCATGGACATGTGACTTGTTCATGTGACTCCAAAACTCCATCTTGGAGCTGGACTTTGCATAGGAGAGAGGAGGGGGTTTCCACCCGCAAGAGAGTCTACTTAAACCCCTGGGAGATCCCTCCATTTTGTCTTCAGCTGGCTCAAGAGATAGCCTCTCCACCCCCAAGAAGCTGGGACAAAGAACAGTAACTACAGAGGGTGTGAGTGATTGCTGGACCCAGACTAGAAGGAGACTAGTCTGTAAAAGGAAGCTTACTGGGTAAGGTTTTTATCTGTATTCAGTTTTCTTAGACATAGACTTGCGTGTTCTATTTTATTTTGCTTGGTAATTCACTTTGTTCTGTCTGCTACTACTTGGAACCACTTAAATCCTATTTTCTGTATTTAATAAAACCACTCTTTACTTATTAATTAACCAACCCAGAGTATGTATTAATACCTGGAGGGAGGGAGGGCCAACAGTTATGCATCTCTCTCTAGCAGTGTTATAGAGGGCGAACAATTTATGAGTTTACCCTGAATAAGCTTTATACAGGGTAAAAACAGATTTATTTGGGGTTTAGATCCCATGGGGAGTTGGGCATCTGAGTGTTAAAGACAGAAACACTTCTGTAAGTTGCTTTCAGTTAAGTCTGCAGCTTTGGAACACGTGGTTTAGACCCTGGGTCTGTGTTGGAGCAGACTGGCATGTCTGGCTCAGCAAGCCAGGATGCCGGATTCCCAGGCTGGCAGGGAAAGCAGGGGCAGAAGTAGTCTTGGCACATCAGTTGTCAGTTCCCAAGGGGGTTTATGTGATCCAACCCGTCACAGTGAGATCCACTGCTATAATCCACTAGATTATTCTTTACTTCACAGATCTGTGGAGAACTGCTAACAGGCCACAAAGATGGGAGCCTACACCAGGCCAGCCTGGTGCGCGCGCGCGCGCACACACACACACACACACACACGACATGGGAGGAGAGCAATTCAAGCTTGCCTCTCTCTGCAGATTCTAGCTATTTGGATTTTTTTCTGAAGCAGACAAGCCAGTGGTATGACCCAGGGGTAGGCAACCTATGGCACGCGTGCCAAAGGTGGCACGCAAGCGGATTTTCAGTGGCACTCACACTGCCCGGGTCCTGGCCACCGACCCAGGGGGCTCTGCATTTTAATTTAATTTTAAATGAAGCTTCTTAAACATTTTAAAAACCTTATTTACTTTTACATATAACAATAGTTTAGTTATATATTATAGACTTATAGAAAGAGTCCTTCTAAAAATATTAAAATGTATTACTGAAACGCAAAACCTTAAATCAGAGTGAATAAATGAAGACTCGGCACACCACTTCTGAAAGGTTGCCGACCCCTGACCCAGACCATTCAGATGAGTTACTGGAAGGTGGAGATAGAATGATGGACTGTGCTAGTAAGGGAACTGGGAGGAGGGCAGAAGGTTCTGCATAGAAGGTACTGGCACAGGTTCCCCTAAGCCTCTGACTGTCAGAAGCTGGGACTGCACAACAACAAGGGATGGATTATTTGATAATTACCCTGTTCTGTTCATTCCTTTGGAAGTAGTTGGCACTGGTCACAGTCATAAGACAGAATAGATGAACCATTGGTCTGACCTAGTATGGCCACTCTTATGTTCTTAGGTAAGCCACCAAACACTAGCTAGACTGCTCGCCTACAGTACTGAGGAACTGGGGAAGGAATGGTAAAATGGCAGGTTGGAATAATGATGCATTGATATATGCAATCTAAAGGAGACAACAGGAACTCAGATTTAGCACATGTTCCTCAGTCTTCCTTAAAAAGGAAGGACAAGTTCCAGTTACTAAAAATTCAATTCTTCTGAAAAGGTCACAGGTTTGAGAGGAAATCCACACACACTGAAAGATCTTTGCTGTGGACATCAATGACTCTGGTCTCAGACAGAAGCAAAATAAACTGAGATCATACAGCACTTGAGGAAGGGGAATCTGAATTCAAAAGGAAGGAAGGAAAGAAAAGAACTAAGATGCCTCCATTGTAGGGCATGTGAGAAATAAAGCCACCTCAACATCATTCTTTGGGATATTTGCCATTCCCTTTCTGTCTGCCAGGCTGTTCCAATGGATTTGGCTGTACTGGGAAGTTCTGTTGATCAGTTAGCTGCTTTATATATTAATGAGGTTCCTCCTTTGTTATTCCAGAGTGTTACTGGATGTGTTTTTAGGGTACCAGAAAGAATCTTTTACCCAAAGACCTTCAAGGTTACATTCTTCAGCCAAGAGATGCAGAAAAAATACTTGTGTCTTTTTGTTATTTTTCCCCCTTTTAGGTAAATTACAAAAAAAAAAAAAAAAAAAAAAAAAACTCATTTCTATATAGCATGTTCTTAAGCAACAATACAAGTGCTTGCTTCTCTTTATTTTTTTAATGTGAATGCCTAAATACAGTAGTAAGGACAAGCTATGACAGAAGTGATAGACAACTCAGAAAGGGCCTTGACTCTGCCATCCTTGTTCACGTAGAATAGTACCTTAATCCAAAAATAGTCATTTATTTTGATAGAATTACTCGTGGTAGTACTCTTAGGAGACCAAAAATACCGTACAATAAGGCAAACTGTCAGATTATGAAGAACTCAGATAGGAGAACCTTATCCTAATAGAAGAATCTTGTGTTCCACATCCAAGTACATAGAGACAAGTAATAAATACAACTTCTCACTGTTTGTTCACATAAAACAGGAATATAGAAATTCTTTTGAAGGACGAGGTGAGAAAACACCAACAGAACTTCAGTGCTGAAATGTGGCAGTCAAATATGCTGTATACAAGTGTGTTTTGGGATGAGGCGTAGAAAGAGAAGCGACAATTTTTAAAACATTAAGTAAAATAAAATATTTACCTTGACTCTGAGCCAGATGAAGGATCTTTGAGGTAACATATCTGGCAGTGTCTGCTTCTACCAACAAAGATTCTGAATTAATCTTCTCCAGCTGTGCCAGCAGACCCACAATCCGAGAATTGTTAGTAAGACTAGAAGAAACATTTATATTGATGTTTCAATCCGTATTCAACATATGACAAAAATATTTTGTTTCGCCTCACATGGCAAAATCCAATGTTACATTTTTTAAAGTCAAAGTTAGTTCTTCAGTGAACTAGGTTTAGATCAGTAGGTTTGTACAGTTTTATAGTTAAAACAGAATGTTTTGCTCTATTTAGTTACTTCTCAAAATTAGCTTTTCTTCCCTGCTATCAATGACACACTCATTAAGACAGCTGTACAGAGGAGGGCAGCGTTGTCTTTGCTACATTCTTAAAAGGGACTAAATCTGCTTCCCTTGAATTCAGTGGCAAAACTCCCATTATTTTCCAAGGACATAAGGGATCACCCCAACTACTGAGATTACCCAAGGAAATCATATGGGAAATTCATGACTGACTAATTAATTAAAACTAACTAATTTGTACTATTACAAATTTACTGTTATTAGCAACTTATTTCTTCAAATTCATACCTATAACACCACAACATTTAGTCTTAATTGGAAATCAGCTATAACTATATAAAACTGGGGCCGTATCACATCTTCCATGGAACAACCTCTACAGTTAAGATCCCTCTTGTCAAGGGGTGTCTCCAGTGCCACCATGCCCAGGGAAGTCCCGGGCAGCACATCTCTGGTGGAGCCATGCTCTCAAGGAACATGGGGAAGGGTCTGACGGGGAAAACCACTTAGGCTCTAAAGCCATTATGGGCCTCCCCCAAGGATTCATTCCACAAGTGAGGGGGACAATTTTCACCCTACACCCCAATAAAACATCCAGAGAACACCACTAGAAGGGGAGGATGGGGACTTTGCAGAAGTTACTTCCTCCTTGGCCATCTCTCATGAATTTTTACCACAGGAGGGGGAATCCACCTATCAGAATCCATTTTCAACTACTTTGACATTTTATTGCCTATACAGTAGCCCCGGCTTTGAAGTCTGCCAGACTGGTCTACAAAAATGCCTACAAAAGCCCCAACATCTGGCTAGCCTTTAGGGTGTGTAATCATCCAGATGTGGAGAAATAAAGTACTCAAGAATATAACAGAACCAGAGCCCACCCTCCCAAAAAAGGCTACTGTTTATGGAGAAAAACAAGAGCGGATCACTTTTCAGTTCTTGAGCGTTTTTCCGCTCTTCCAAACTTTTATTCCTCCTCAGACAGCTTGAACAATAAGCCTGTTCTGAAAATGACCACACCAGGGAAAGGAAAGGAGAGTTTAGACAAAAAGCTTAGAAGAAATGGAAGACAACCCTATCCTGAGAAAATAATGCTGTTTTCTTTGGGAGATACAGGTCACCTTTCTAGTGGGTTCGTATCTTTTCTTTCCCACACCCCCATAGCAATGTTTCAGGTCTACAGCCTCTGCTTGAGAGAGCCCAAGAGGAGGTCATATCTAGAGTCTCCCATCCCTTCCTGGCTCCTGCTATCCTACCTAACAAGACTGAGTAGTCAATCATATCCTTGTGTTAGGCTTTACTCTGCACACATGCAGCAAGAAAAAAAAAAAATCTGGCTGAAAGTTTTAATATCATTTTTTCACTGATAACCGTTTTCTCACAGCAAACATTCACTTTCAACATTTTCTGATAAATCTCTAACAGTGAAAAAATACAGCCGTATTAAGTTTTACCTCACTCTCTGCAAACCATTTTGAGACAATCCCATTCTTTATTACTTATTTGCTTATCTTTAGAGACTATATGCAACCAGTTTGGTTTCTTAAGTTTTGCAAATATTTTTTGGAAGAAATACAGCACAAAACTTAATAAACTATCACTATTAGATGGGAGGGTCTTTATTTTATAATGTTCATAAAAGTGAAGAACTGTAGAGAATCAGAATGTTTTAAATTGACATTGATAGGAATGACTTATTCTGTCACAGTTTTGTCTCATTTTGGAGGTACACAAGTACAGTTTGGCTTGAGGTCTTGGTGTTTTAAGAGGAGATACATTTCATAAGGAGCACTTTTATCCAGATATTTATATTATCTCCCCCACTACCGTATTTAATTATATTCTTTAATTAAAAGCCTTAAGGTTAGTTCAAATCGCCTACAACATAAATCAAATCACCTTCATCTTTGTAGAATGTAAGATACTTGAGATGTCATTGACAAAGTTAAAACAAACTATTACTAATCAGATTTTATTCATTCTTCATTTTTACATTCACCCCACCATTTGAAAATATGTTTAAAAAATTTCCATGATTAACATTATTGCTGTGTACAACTATGGTTTCTAAGGAACAACTGGCACAGCAAAGCATTCCATTACAGTTCAGCAATAGTAAATGACAACTTATTTTAATTGATGTACAGTGAGTTCTGGCTATTCGCAATAAAACTAAAGAATGACACTAGTTTTATAAATAGTGACAATGTTGTTTATAAAGAAGTTGATGGATTATTATTGCTTGAGTAATAGTTTAGAATGGTTTTGCTCTTATTATTAAGTTTGCCATAGGATGAATTTACCCTTGGATGTAAATGTTAAAACAAGAAAAAAAAATGGCTGACAGCAAGTGTTTTATAACTGTGGAAACAATTTGATGCAACAGCAGCAAAGGAAACTTATTCTAGCCTCACTTAATTTCTTTACACTGGCATCTAAACTATAACTTCACAACCAAAACCAAAGTAACTTTTAAAAGGAAGATTGCCACATGTTTATGCCCAATAACATGGCCTATTCTTAAAACTGATATAAACTGCTTGAAGATGTCCTCCGTAATCTAAAGTTTATATCATAAAATCCCATTACTAAATATATGCATCTTCTCAACTGTTTGAGTTAAAAGTGTGTAAAAAGAGTTTTAATCTGACAATCTCCCTTTCCCCTCTCAGCTGTTCCAGTTTTGCTTCCTTGTATGTGCAACGAGATCATTAGGGTGGTCAGAAATGGATTTAAAAAAAAACTGATGGATACTATCGATGTTTATTTTTAACCATTTTTTAATTTTATCAATTTAAGTTTTCACAGTTGTGCAAAATTATGGGTTTTATCCATTATTTTTAAATATTTAAATTTTCAAAGCTGCAAAGGGGGGGTTAGGCAATTATTTAATAAGACAGATTAAAAAAATTAAAAGCTTTATAACTGCTAAACACCACATGTCAAAAGAAGAACACAAAGTGAAAATCCTTAAATCAAACTAAAATTCGCAAGAGCATTCTTCTTACTTTGTCTATCTGCAAATTTTGATCACCAGTGGATTTCTGCCAGTTTCTATGTGTACAGTTAACCGACATTTACCAACATTTATCAATAAAAATGTAATCCTTCCAAGACTAGACATAATCTAATTAATTCTCTAGTCATCCAGGGCAGAGGTGAGCACTGCTACTAAAACAGGAGGTGATAATACTCCATGATAACAGATAATCTTCACATCCCTCATTCCAGACTTCTACCTCTAATCCCCACCCAAAACGGAGATCCAGTGGTATCTGTATGCACTGAGCTTGAAATCACCCAGGATGATCCCATGATTATAACGGAAGCCATGATAGCTGACTCAATGTTCAATGGTAATCTTCAAGGATGCTCATCCTCAACAATTTTAGACCCAAAATGGACAGGAATCCAACCAGCCTGACTAGAAACTACTGTGTATTGTAGCAGCTTGTTCATCAAGAAAGAATTTCCATTTTGGTCTCTCATGACTCACTCTCATACTTGAATGTTGTTTTGGGATGGAAAATATCCTACATTTAAACACAAATGTGACCAGTACAGCCACAACACCTCCCCAATCCTGTTTTTCCTCATGCTGAGCCGAGAACCCAGAAGGAAACATTTGGAGTAACAAGAGTCCTGCAGTCATCCTGACAGGTCTTATACCACATGCACGTTATCATGAAAAGCATTAACTTTATTTTAATAACAGCTTATTAAGAGAGTTAAGTTGCTCAAAACCAATATTCAGTACACCAAAGAAGAGACTACAAACTAGAGTAGTGTGATTAATATTAGCTACATTACCCTTGCTCTTTTGTGGTCTTATTTTGTCCAATCCCCTGCCTAATTCAGCAAGTAACAGAAAATCCAAGCCCCTTCAGCCAACTCCCAGGCCTCTATATACTAAATTTATTGTAATGCTGTCGAACCCTCTCAGCTATCCTGCAGTGGCACTGAATGACTGTATCTGCCAGTTAGGTAGGTGAGCAAGGACTCCAAAAGCAGGTTGCAAGGGTCTATAACACAACACAAGACACCCCCAAGGTTCCAGTAGATGAAAGCACTCAAATACAAGACCTTTCTCCAATCCATTCCCCAGTAAACCGAACCATCCAACAAATATCAATCCATCCGCCATAGTATTCATACCCATGAGAGGGAGTAATACAGCCAAGATCCCTACTCAAAACTTTTCATAATTACTCTTTGCAAATCTCATTCACTTCACCGTACTCCCAATCCTGCTCAGCTCCCAGTAAAGGCATTAGGTGTTTTACAATAAACAGGATTTTTGCCTCATTTAGCCAGGAAGCAATATGGTCTCTAAATACTTCTCTATGCAAGCTTGCCTTATTCATATCAAGAGCCATTCAGCTGCACTTTACAAAGCCAGTCAACACGTAGCATAATCACTCAACACTTACTGGAAACGTTTAGCGATTTAGAAAGGATAAGCCATTCTCACTGCAAGATAGTATCTTTCAGAAATACTTCAAGATTTTCATCCATAAGGTTTAGAAGAGGCTTATTTGTCTAGACTTAAAAGGGTGCTGGAAATTGGCATTATAGCAACCAACCAGGAACATTCTAAAGAGCTTAACTATCTTCAGAACATTAACTGAATAAAACTGTCTTGAAAATGATAAACCTAGAATCAGAAAGTGTAAAAATAAGAGGATTATTGTAGAGATGGACCTGACTCCACAGTTAAGGCTGAGTTGAG